ATTGATGAGGTGTAACAGCCTCATCGACCGGAAGTGATTTCTTCCAATTGATGAGGTTGTTACACCTCATTGACCGGAAGGGATTCTCTCAATCAATGAGGTGTAACAGCACTCATTGACTGGGAGGGATTCCTTCCGTGTTGTTGTTTCTCATTGACCGGGAGGGATTCCTTCCGGTCAATGGTGTTGTTCTTTTTCATTGACCGGAAGGAAATCCTTCCAATTGATGAGGTGTACCAACCTCATTGACCGGAAGGAAATCCTTCTGGACAATGAGGCATAATAAGTTCATTGACCGGAAGGAATCCCTTCTGGTCAATGGTGTTGCTGTTTCTTATCAACCGGAAGGTTTTCCTTCCGGTCATGTGGGAGCAACTCCCAAATCCCCTCAAGCATGAGGGGTGGTTTGGGGAGCCAACTCCCAAAAGTACAAAAAAATAATTAAAAAAATAAAATGTAATTGGATGGCTGACTCCCAAAGTCAGCCATCCATTTGGAAAAACAACTCCCAATTGACGTCTGACAACTGTATTTGGGAGTCTGTGACTAAAATTTGGGAGTTGTTTTTCCAAGCCCCTATTAACATTATAAAAATATTTTACAGCATTAAGGGGTTCAAAGTAAACCTTTCCAGCATCCTTCCAGCCCAAGCTGCACAAGAAATAATTTTGTGAAAATTCAAATTTGTCTCTATTTGGAGAATTTCTTGAAGCTTTTGGATTAGTCAATCCCATATTGTTATACTCACATTCTTATGTCTAGTTATCCTGATAACAAGCCTCCCAGTGTTACTGAGCTACTATATGCCTACTCAACTTTCTATCCTCACTGGATCCAACATATAAATTATTTATTATCACCATTTTGTTCATCTTGTGAGTCTTGATCTCAGTCCCTGTTTCAGTACTCAGTGCCCTTCAAAAGAAACATGACATACCTTTTATGATTTAAAGTGGAATGCTGTTTCAAATTGATTTTTAGCACTCTAAACCATACATACATCCCAGGCAAATTGGGTTCATGTTATGTGATCAGGTTACCTTTTCCCAAGTCAAAAAATGGAATTCATTGAACAGGCAAGGGCAAAATCTTTTTGGATTCCAGTCCCTCTGAATTCCAAGGAGGGATGGTGTCCTCAAGTGAACCTGAAAAGGAGGGACTTGTGCTAACTGCAACTAGTGATTCACCACTCTGTGGTAGGAGGGAATAACTCTTTTCTCTTAAACAACTATGAATACTTCCAAGAGTAAGTATCATCTGCATTAAGAATTATAGAGGCAGTTTATCTTATTAGGATAAACTCTTGAGTCCTTGACCGGGGTCTTGAATATGAAATAAGAAAGGATTTTAATAAGAGTCTTTATATTTTCAAGACATGATGATGATACTAGAAGAACAAAGATATATTGATGAGGAAAGAAAGGAAAAGTGAAAGAAAAGAAAATAGAAGTACACAACATGTAGAAATAACATTTAGAAACCAACCAATATAATGAAATTGTATAAATTCCTATTTGATATTTTCTTTATCCATTAATATCATTTGCTAATATCAAAGAGAAAATAAAAAATGTTAAAGGATATACAATATCAAGTGATACCAGAGGGGATTGAAAGGGGGGGGTGAGGATTTCACACAAAGATGACCCTTTTAACCAATGAGTTGGCATACATCTGAAAATGCTATACTGCCTGGGAAGGCTAGAAGTACTTTTACCACCTGTTTAGCACCTCAAGAGGAAGTTGTATTTTGGCTTTGGGGTGGTAAAATTAGTTTACTTGCCCTAATCAGTAGCATTCTATAGGCTATCAGCAACCATCTACATCAAAATTCAGCATAGGAAAAGTTTAAATTGAATCATCAGTAAGCAAAGTCAAACCCACATCAAAGAACCCCCCCCCCCCCTCGGTGACCTTGCAAGGGAGAGAAAAGAGAATAAAAGCATACAAATGTCAAAAGAGATTTTAACAATCTTAGGGGCCTATGAATTCATGAACTACAAATTCTACTACTACTATGTAACTGAACAAGATGTTTGCCTAGTTTGCTAATCTTGGATTACGGATATTGCCTGCATTCCCAAGGTAGTTAACAGGTTGTGGAGCGGGAGGGCACATCTCAACCACTTCAGGAGGGTCGATTTTGCACTTGTTAACATGATCGCACCCTAGGTCTTGCCCATCGTGTTCGCGATTGAGGGTGTACCACCTTCCACAGTCCTGATTGGTACATTGATAATAAGCTTTTGAACGCTCTACCTTACAGGTTGAAGGACCATTGCCAATGACTTCCCCACAGGGCCCGTTCTTACTCAACTCGCAAGTCATTTCATGTGCGGAATATGTTTTGCAAGAATCACAGATAACCGGACCGTAGGCGTTGCAAATCCCCGACAGTACGAGACTCAACACGGCAATGGTGGCGATAACGGAAAGGTTCATTGTCGGGCAGTTTTCCAAGCGGGAAGTGGCCACAGGAGGAGTCGAACTTGTGTTAACTGGTTGAAACGTGATGGTCGGGAAGCTATTAGAGCGGAGGGTGTTGGCTGACCGTTGTCCTATTTGAGGATAGTGTTGTCTGACTTGTCTCGCTATCTAGTAGAGAAGCTCGTCCTTCGCTAGTAGAGAAGCTCGCCCTTTGCTCGCTGCGCTCCTGCCTGACATGAAGTTCGATAAACACAGATGATGATATGTAGGAACTTAGGAAGCGCTCGCCGTATGTACCGCTGCCCTGCTTTGCGAGCTTAACTAATCCCCTCTGAGCAGGCGCAAAGCGCCTCCGAAGGGAGGATTACGACCTCTGAAGGAGGGATTACGACCTCTGAAGGAGGGATTACGACCTCTGAAGGAGGGATTACGACCTCTGAAGGAGGGATTACGACCTCTGAAGGAGGGATTTGTGTTAAGTTCGCCTGCTTTGCGCGGGGCTAGGACCGGACCCGTCTCCGGCAAGTGTAGTGCTTTTTGGCCTCTCGGTGGCTGTGTCCTGGCAGCCCCCAAGTCGGCCCTGTATGGGTCAAGGGAAGCGAATGGCGCAGGTGTGGGCTACTTTGTTGCCGAAGTTCAATCTATAGGTGGGATGGGACTAGGAAGGGGCGCCTTGACCTCAGAAGCTAGTCCACTCCATCCATCTTCTTTACCAAGCAAGCTCTTCCTTTTCTTTCCATTTTCCATTTTCTTCTTCCTCTTTCTTCTTCTCATTTCTCTCGGATTGATGGTCTCCCATGTTCCTTTCTCTTCATGAGGTTTACTTTCAACGATCTCTCTCCTTTTTCCTTTTTGACTAACACATATCGGTTGTTCAAATTTGAAGGCGTGCCAAGCATACTGCATTGCGGCCTCAGAGCTATACTCATAGATTACAGTTCTATTTAGCAAACACATAGTTTATAGTGCAGTATGTGAAATCAATAGCACTTTAAAAAAAAAAAAAAAAAAAAAAAGGGAAGCAAAGTTACAATCTACATCTTATCCATGACATAATGTTAGCTTCTTATGATCATTTGTTCTTCTGTTTGACTAACTCACTGCCATCATAATTATTCCCATTAGCACATCCCTTGCATTTGACTGCTTGGCTCTGGGCCAAACCATTTTCCAAAATTTCTCATTTCACAACTTTCCTATTAAGACTTTGATATTCCTCCCCCTTAAATTCCCAATTGAGGCTGTTTTTTTTGAACAAAATTCTTGCTTGGACCCTGTTTGAAGAGTTATTTCAATCCCAAGATCCATTACATGATTGTCCCATCTAGACATATGATCCAGTTTCAACCTTTATCTCAAGACAACAGGCAGGGAGAAGAATCAGTTCACTGTTTTCACTCAAATTCTCATCTCACTTGCATCCTTGTTAGCCAACACATGCAACTGGTCAGAGTGACAGTATTGTTTTATGAAGGTAACTACACACTAACAGACAACCCCCAAGAATCCAAAGCATGGTGGAAGGTCTACACTAACAGAAAACTAGAATGCAACCAAAAGATGAGGCCTCAATAAATTAATCATTGAGTATAGAATTTCAACAATTTAAAATAAAGTCACTCCTCCCAGCTTGCCAATTGGAAAGATTGCTTAGATGAGTGAATTCTTGGAGTAAATTGAGGGGTTGTGAGGATAACAAGGCAGTGCTTAATTTTTTTTGGGCATTAATAAAAAAACACAGTTTTTCCGCGTTTACACACGGTTTTGCTGCGGCACAGCGCACACGGTTTCCGCGTTTAAACACGGTTTTGTATATAATTTTTTACCACTTATTTTTCGAGTTTTTTTGGATTTTTAAAGTTGTTTCCTACACTTTAAAAGGTGTATAATTTAATGGTAAAACCCATTTTCCATAAAAATGAATTTTGATTATTAATTATTTTTTTCACTCATTTCTAAATTAATTGTTTGCATACATGTATGTACCTTATTTTTTATGTTTTTTTGAAATTTTGAATTTATTTCCTAGGTTTTATAAAACTCAACGGTTCACTTTTAATACTCAAATTACACCCATTTTTTCACTTAAATTTTTAGAGCTTAATTTTCATTCTTTTTTGACATTTTAATTTTTTTTCCTACACTTTCAGACATGTATAAATTTATGGTAAAAATCATTTTGCACCAAAATGAGAACTACATCTTGTATACTGCATTTGACACCGTTTTGTTTATTGAATTCTTCACTTTTTCACTCAATTGTTTGCATTAGTTTTTTTACCTTATATTTTATGCTTTTTTATAATTTTAAAGTTGTTTCCTACATTTCAAAGTGTTTAGAATTTAATATTAACATTCAATTTCCATAAAAATCAACGGTTCATTCTGAATACTGTAATTGGTCCTAAAATTCAATTGATTTTTAAGAGCTTGATTTTCATTATTTTTTGACATTTTAAATTCATTTCCCACACTTTGAGACATTTTAAAAATGATGGTAACAATAATTTTGCATAAAAATAAAAACTATATCTTGAATACTGCACTGAACGCTTTTCCTTAATTAATTCTTACACACTTAATGATCCTTATTTTGTGGAATTTTAAGTTCTTTTCCTACACTTTGAAAGGTTTTAAAATTGATGGCTGTATCCATTTTGCATTCAAATAAAATTTTTATACAGTACAAATTATGCAAGAAACAGGGTACACTCTTATATTAGGATTGAAGCTTCAAGTTTTATGAAAATTGGAATTCACCATTCAATTCTGAACATTTTTAAATGTAGGAAAGCAACTTAAAATTCCAAAAAATGATTGAAATTAAGCCATGGTAAAACTTAATTCAAAAAACATTAAAAAAAACCTGTCCAACGCAGTATTCATTACCAATCTTTTGTTTTTATGCAAAATGATTGTTACCATCATTTTGAACATTTCTTAAAGTGTGGGAAATAAATTTGAAATGTCAAAAAAGAATGAAAATTAAGCTCTAAAAATTTAAGTGAAAAAATGGGTGTAATTTGAGTATTAAAAGTGAACCGTTGAGTTTTAAAAAAATTGGATTGCGCCATTAAATTCTACGCACATTAAAATCTAGGAAATAAATCCAAAATTTCAAAAAAACATAAAAAATAAGGTACATACATGTATGCAAACAATTAATTTAGAAATGAGTGAAAAAAAATAATTAATAATCAAAATTCATTTTTATGGAAAATGGTTTTTACCATTTAATTCTACACCTTTTAAAGTGTAGGAAACAACTTTAAAAATCCAAAAAAACTCGAAAAATAAGTGGTAAAAAATTATATACAAAACCGTGTTTAAACGCGGAAACCGCGTGCGCTGTGCCGCAGCAAAACCGCGTGTAAACGCGGAAAACCCATGTTTTTTTATTAAGGCCCTTTTTTTTGCTCATCACCAATGAGTTCTTGTTGCAGGAAAACTCCTAAAGCTCATGAAGCCAGATTTCTCTTGAATAGGGAGAAAAAAATGTAGGGGAAACTTCTAGGTTTTATATATAGACTTTTTCCATATGCCAGGGCCTGCACCACAGCCCCAATTTTGATATCAATTTCCAATTTTCAAGTTGGGAATTGAACCCAACAGAAATGATGTACCATTCACACCCAATTTCTCACAGTACAGAAGCCAGATTTTCAGTGCCAAACCCAAATGAATTTTGGTTGGCAAAAAATGAAAAGATCCAAAAGGAAAATGAAAATTGGGTGGGGTGCTATGGCATAGCCCTAAAACTGACTGAGCTCAGTCAACCCACCTAACACATGTCTGGCATGGTCTCAAAATTCACTCCTCTTATGACTATAAGATTGAGACTGGGATTCCTAAACAAGATGAAAATCTTGTTTTCAGAATCAGCTTTTGGTCCTCTTAGTTGTATCCTTCAAGGTTGCAGGCCTTGGACCCCTTCAGCAGGATTAAATTATTCTTAGCTCAGTCACCAACTGTTGTCTGGAATTATCATGATATTTAGAGATTAACAGAGTTATTTTGGTGTCGAAACCCAGAATCAGTGACAGAACATGTTGGTTTTTTGCCTCAATTTCGGCTTCCTGCCCAAAAGAAACTCAAAAGACATTTATGCCTGCGGCACATTTTCAAATCGCACAACTGTCATGATAAAGTCTTTCCGGATGTTTCCTGGAGTAGATGTTACAATTAAACAAGGAGCACAGTGTCAGTTCTGAAACACTTGGAAATATTCTTGTTCACGCAATTGGCGAATTAGCGGCTCATAGAAACCAAAGGCAACTTCCCCCTTCACCTTACGGCAAAAGACTTCCAGCATGCTCAATTTCTGGAAACCTGGGCTGTTAGCCTCGCTTCATCTCCCATTCCTCTCAGCAATGCAAAGAAGTTTTGATCTCTTTCCTGATTTAAATTCAAGCTTGGAGCATGAGCAAGGTAGCGTCTTTGATTCATCCATTTCGCCATTCAAACTTCACTTACTCCTTGTGTCTGCAGGACCAAAGTCGCCTTTCTTGGTAATCACTGAGCAGAAGAAACCGTTAGAAACATTGATGCTGTTTGGTTGGTTTCCGCCGTCTTTGTTTTCTCCCTACGTAGTCCGGCAGGTGACAAAATGTCAGAAAAGCAGACAATCTGACGGTTTTTCTCTGCTAATACTATGCACTTTATAGATAAACCTAGCGTAAGACTCGAAGCCGGTGGTCCAATCAAATCCAAGTCATTCAGATTTGTGCCAGGGCGCGAGATCGGTGATATTGAGTCTTCCCCTGCTTCAAAAAAACAGAAGCCGGCTCTCAACTTGTCTTTGGGTCTCCCCGCTTATGTCCACAATTACCCAGCAAGCTTACATCCGGTGTCATCTATTTCTCAGTCTCAAATATTGCATCAAAGTGGTACGTTCATCCCACGAAACTTTTGAACTATTTGCTTGAAAAGCGACCTAGAACCAAGATGATGACACAAGACCGATCGACCCATTTGGTGGCTTGATAGACCTCACTCATAGGCTGGAAATGCTCAGGCAAATACCAGGTCAAACTGCATCCAGTGGACACAGATTGAAGGGACTCAAAAGCGACAAAGACATAAGGAATCGTCCACAAGATGGCAAGACAATCGGTTCCCCGATTACTTCTCAGCGTAACATAAAAACTATTTACTCTCACAACAATGAAGAGCAATTTCCAACAAATGCACAAGATAGGTTCAGGGATAATATCACTGATATCCATCCAACCCAAACCCCCTCAATGAGAAGAATAGAAATGTGTCTAGGAGAAAACTTCAATCCTCAGGTAAAATCTCAGTTTTGGGCTTGGATGTCGATCATTTTGGATCATTTAGAAGGATCAGCAGGTGGTGAATTTGAGGACAATGTACCTCAAACATTCACAGGTAAAAAGTTGCTGGTTGCATACTTCAATCACAAAGTCTTACTAGGCAAAAAAACGCCTGAAAAAGTGTGCGAAAATTATCATCTAAAGCTGAGATTCAGAAGAATTGCCAGGCTTTTGTGGGTTACAAATTTTCAGATTTTGCACACATTGGGGATCAAGAAGTCAGGAGTTGATTATCTACCAGAGCAAAAGGCACTTCAGCAGTGGTTTTTGAAGTTTTTGCAAAGATCCAAGAAACAAAGGTTCGTTGGTCCAACTAAAAAGTGGCTAGAGGGTGAAGAGGGAATGGTTTATCAAAAAATAACTCAAGCAGTTCAGGCAACAGCAGAAATAACTGCCTACCAAGTATACCAGCAGATATTGACTGAAATTCCCATTTTGGTATCAAAAGCAAGACTGTTGATAAATGAAACTGTCATCCATCTTCTCATCTTTTACTACAAAACAATGAGAAAGGAAAAATGGGATAGTATGTTTATATCTGATGTGAATTTCTTGTTTCAACTGGCCAACATTGGACACATAATAAAATACAAATCAGCTCTAGAACTTTCATTATTGAAGGATGAATTTTCAAAAAGGGCAATTCACTTTCTGATCCCATACAAAACATTCTCACTTCTGGAATTCTTTAATTCAGAACCCAAGTTTTCTAATCATGAAAGTTTTCAGCTGAAAATTGGTGTGAAACCAATTTTTCAAGAAAGAAATATAGCTGAAATGAAAAACTTTGAGATTGTCATGGATTTTGATAGTAGGAATCACGAGGAGGAGGCATGGGCATGGATATCACGGGTCAAATTCAACAAGAAGAAATCCTTCAACAAATTGTTCCAGCCAACAAATGAAACAATCATCAATGAATTCAAAACATACCTTATAAAGTTTGCTCAGAAGTCTTTGCCTGCAGAAAGACTATTGAAAATTCAACAAACATCTGAGAAGAAGATCTTTGACCTATTGGATCAAATATTTGATATCATTTGGGGATTAAATGAACAAATACTTAAATATTTTAACTGTAAACTCCTTTGTGAAGATTACATTGAGGAACAAAAATCAGTTCAAATGTTTTTCTTATCTTTCTTTTCTGAAGTCATGGATGGGAGCAATTCAAATCATCTTTGGAAAAATGGTGAAAATACAATAAATGATGAAACCAAGATCAACAAAAGAATCTTAACTTGGGTTCTGGATTTACTTTATTTAGATGAAAGTATTCAAAGGTTCACAATCAGTCCCAAGGCAAGTGGTAGTGATCGGGCATCAATTCTACAAGAGGATTTGATTGTAGGTGAAATTGTAGTGAACATACTTGGTTATTATTACAAGAACAAGAATTATGAAAAGTATATGAGTCTTTTTGAAAGGGATACATGGTTTTTTGAATTTCTGATCAGTAGAAGCCTGGCATTGTTTCAAAACTCATCAAGAACAATCTCAGATGATTTCAAAAAAGCACACAAAATTTTCCCCTGGGAACAAACAAGTGATTTGTTAAAATTGCAAATGTATTTCCTTCACTCCAAGATTGGGTCTCATTCTAAAGTGGACATTAAACCATTGGTAACACCGGTGAAGAAGAATACTTCTTAAACTTTTTTTTCATGTTGTGTCCTGAATTCAATATCACAGGAATCAAGTTTGATCTTTTTACTACTTCATTCTCTCCAAAATCATCCTATCTCACCATGATTATTCTATGTTTACTTTTACTTCTGCCTTTCTTTCTGGTTTGAATTATGTGTCCTCTTGGATAGGTAACATTTAGGTTTGCTGTTTTGAATAATGATTCATACATCAGTCTGAAAAGTTTTGGCTAAATAAAACATTAATTTCAGTAAAAGAAAAGACAAAAATAAAGAAAAGACAAGAATAGAATGTTACCTAAATAAAACAGGAAACAGGTTTTGGATGATAAGTGGTAAAGATGAGAAATGAAAGCTGTTGATGGCTAGGTTACTAGACTAAAAAGGATAATAGACAATTAGAATCTTAGTCGTTAACATGAAAACACAGAAGAGAAAAAAGAATTAAGAACCTATGAAAGTTAGCCTAGATGAAGAAAACCTCGGCGAAGTTGGAAAGAATAGAGTATTGAGAATAGTTTAAATGATAAGTTGAAGTTGATTGAGAAGTTAATGTTGTTGATTTGTTGAGGTAAAAGTCGAAGAGGTAAATAAAGATGTTCTTCGAATGGTCAACAGATGTATGATTGATCAACCGAGAGATGAACAGAACCAGCAGAAAAAGATCGAAGACAAAGGTCAACAAGGAAAAGAGAAAAAGAACAAATGTTCAACAAGGAAAAGAGAAAAAGAACAGGCTGTGTAGGATCACACTCCTATGACATCACAGAATGTATGCGACACATTATTGTGACCAGATTTCAACACAGTCAAAGAAATTTGCAGTTATAAATGTTCAGTTTTCTGCTCTCCTCAGCAAACTATATGCTTCCTGACCAAATCCACATAGCCTAATAGTCTACGATGATCAGCTTCCACATACACAACTTCATGTCCTCACAAGAAAAAAAGAACGATGAGGGGCACGTAAATCAATAGAAAGTAGAGAATTGGATTTCCAATAAGCATGGGTAGCAGCATGAAGAAGAGTGGGAATTAAAATTGAATATCAATAGGAATGGTCCAAATTAATGATCTTGATGATGAGTGTAAACATATAGAGAGAGAGAGAAAGAGACAAGACCAAGGGTATATATGGAGCCAAGACATCAAAGAAACAAACGGAAAGGAGGAGAGAGAGACTATTGAGACAATGAGACTTCGTGCACTTGGAGAGGCTCCAAGGGTATATCGTGATTAAGCTTGGAGAGCAAGAGCTGGTTAAACTTGAGCAGAGGGATCCGATGATCGAGGGAGTAGGAAGAATCTGAGGAGGTAGAGAGGAGATGGGTTGCTGGAAGAGAGTGGTCTTGTTGAGATTGCGAAGAAACCCCATTTGTTTGAGCCAATTGATTTGGGGTGTGAGTTGGGCGCTTAGATGGGCGGATGAGAGATGACCAAAGGAGCCTACTAGGCGGGACGAGATGGGGCGAGATATCGACCAATCGATCGAACTCGAAATCCAATTCCTGGTCATTATTAGTCTGGCCGCGATCGAGCTGAGTAAGTTGAAGGTCAGATTGACGATGGTCAAGTTTCTTCTGGAAGAGCTCTTGGAAAGGCAACTGAGTCGAAATCCCAAGCTCTTGTTCGATCCGTAGCGCTTGATCGATACTCGAAGACGTTTGATCATCAACCGCCTCTCCACCCCGGATCAAACCCGAGGTCTCGGTGATCAAAACCAAACCATCTAAAATGTCATCTTTCTTAGATGAATCCTTCTGCTCTGAGCCAGCTTTGATGGCGATGAATTGCCCTGAAAAAGGGGAATTATTGATCTTGTGATTCACAATAGTCTTCTTAGAGACAACATCGATAATTGCCAACTTGTCGATTTTCGATTTGCCTTTTTTCTTCTCTCTCTCTCCTTCTTTCTCTCCTGAAGTTTTCCCCTTGGTGTCTTCGTCCCCAGAGGTCTGTGTGTGTATTACTACCACCTTATTATCGTCGGGTGTCTTGACCATAAATTGAGGCACACATGACCAAAATCCGATTTCTTTTAATCAGATCATAGAGCATAAGAAAACAGGTCAGTAAGGTACGGGGCACCATGAAGAGCTCATTCGAGCAATACAAAAAAGAACCTTACCAGAACCGGTTAGTAAATCAAATAAACCACAGCCAAAATTCCCGAGAAAAAAGATGAACTGATGTTTATCGCCCATGAATTCGAGATCTTTAATGAGGAACTTTTGAGGCAGACGATGAGTTAGAGAGCCAAAAGAGTTCAAGTTAAAGCTCTTTAAAAACGTGAAATGTTTTAGATCCCAAATCGAGATGACATTCCGACCGGGGGCATTATGTAAAGAGACGAAGATCGAGTTGTCCTTCGAAATCACCGTTTTAGAGATGCTGTAATTCTTAAGCTTTAATTTGATCGACTTGAGGTTTTCGAACTCTTTTCCAGAAGTCGATTGTAATTTTTTACTTTTGGGTAATGTGGTCGTCATAGGCGTGATCGCGGTTGGGACAGTAATCAGATGTGGACTAGTTGAGGATGAGCTCCATATCTTGATTGTCCCATCGATCGAAGTCGTAATAATTTTAGGAATCAAGTCAGTGGATAACTTTAATGAAGTGATTTGAGAGTCGTCGTGTGGATTATCGACTCGAGCGATCACTTGGAATCTGAATATTTTTGCAAATCAAAAAAATGACCAAGTAGACAGACTTTAGTTCTGCCAGCTAATTCCTACTGCTAGCTGAAGCTTGATGGACTTACCCATCCGAATTTCCCTCTTGAACCCTTTCCCAAAGCTTGAGGGTGATTTCGAGAGAAAATCCACGATCCTCATCCACCCAACTATCGATAGTAGCCAAGTATTTATCCTTGATCCCACCCAGCTCAGCAAACAATAGCTTGGGCTCAACGATCGGTCGTTCACCTCGCCGACTGACGATATTCCTCGGCCTCACAAAGATCTCACTTAAGACTCTTCCCGAACCACCATCTAGGATCTGTAACCCACAAGGATAAGAGGACTGCAAAAGCAGATTACCATAAGACTTGACATGGCCTTGAGAAGATTCTGGGGAGCAAATCGGTGAGATAATAGCCTTCTTTTTGGGATGTTTGTAAACGCTTGGTAGTTGGTACATTTTAGGCAATTTCAAAGTTTTCGAGAGGCTCATCGTCGCAATGTTGACGATCATTAGAGTTCCATCTAGACCAGTAACCAATGCACCAGGTTCGTTGACGTCTACTTTCTCGATCAAAGAAATACTCGAGATTGGTGTGCCTAATCGGGGCAAGAAAGTTTTGGAGTCCAATCCGATTCCACTGAAGTCTTCTAATCTCCATAGGACTAATACGGCCTCTTCTCCTCCACTCAGTAGATGGGATCCATTGCGAGTAAACGTCAGATCAGCCACGGCGTGAGAATGCCAGTGGGATAACGATGTAGGACACGGGAGAGCGGTCCCTGGGGTCCGAGTAGCTAATTCAGCAAGCGTCGTCCACTGAGCTTCTGATAAGGCATGCCAAAGTGCAATCTTTCCTGAACTCGATCCCGTCGCAAAGAAATCGCATGGCACACATGACACATCGCTCGATGGAGGTTGCGAGGAGTCGAAGTGGTCGGCATGAGTCTTGGCTGGAAAGGCGATGCAAGTGATCGGCTCGGGGGCTGCCAAATGCAGCGTTTCGAACCTCGCCTTCTTAGATAATTCTTGGTCATCGATTTGGTCAAACAAATCGAATGGCTTTAATCTGATGATCCATATATTTAGACCCGTCACAAGACCAAGCCAATTTCCACAAGGACTTGAAGAGAAAGCAGAGACGGGATCGATTGTGAGGAGATTGATTTTCTGTATCGGTCGGTTTGGCTGATCGAGAGACGATGAATTTTCGAGCTTGACAGCATAGACGGCTGCCCGTTCGCGATTCTTGTCCCTCGTGCCTGTAGGTGGACCTTTGGATTTCAGTTTTTGTGACTCTGAGGCTGCTTTTTTAGTGATCAGCAGCAGGGTTAATGATGTGGAATTTGATTGATCGATTGACCATGAACCAGAGGGCGTGGGCGAGTTCCGAATGACAGCATGAGTGATGGATAAGTTGGTTTGATATGTGGCTTTGAGGGCATTTTCGATGAAATTATAAAAGTAAATCTGTCCGGTTGAGGAGACTAGGATGAGAAGGCGTTGGGGTGAGATGGGATGTCTGAGAATCTTGATTAATCTAGATTTTTGGGGTGGATCGGGTATGTTAAAACTTGAGATTGAAAGGTTCGATTCAGTAGAATAGACGTGGATCGAGGGAGGTAGTCCAGCGAGAAAACAAAGTCTAGAGAGAAGCAAAACACCCAGGTATCAATTTCAGGTTTCATTGAATTTTTTGAGGAAAAGTGATTGACTTACTTTGAGTCATCTGAGATGAGTGGTTGACAGCTGGGGTGGCTGGGTTGGAGTAAGGTCTGCCACTTCATCTTGTGTCCTCGTTGGATCGCTCGTTTTCTTGGCAAGGCCGAGATGTTTTGCTATGAAAATCGAACTGGCGTTCTTTGAAATTTGGATACTTTTTTCCCAAAATGCTCCACAAGACGCGCAAGTTGTGGTTGGCGGCTCCGAGGAGGGCCCCCTCCCCCGTGGGGTCGGGAAAACACCCGAATCAGTACTTTTTTGTGAGTCTCTTGGCAAAAAAGGGACGCACTGGGGGTTTCGGTTGAAAGCTAGAACTTCTACTCTAACCACCGACTCCCCAAGCATCCCCAAGCCCTACCCTGCGTGTTCTACATAGTGGGAAAGATCTTCCCAAATGAAAACACTTGAAACATAACTTCATATCCCGCACTGGATGTGCAGTAAAATAAACCTGGATATGTAGTATTTTTATATATTTTTTTGTTCACCTCTTCACACCATTTTTTTTTTAAAAAAAAAACACTGAATATCCAGTTTTTTTTACTCCATATCCAGTACTGGATATGAGGTAGTGTTGAAAGTGAAAGTGAGCAGAATAGGAGCTCAACTAATCCTCTCCGAGGAGGCGCGAAGCGTCTCCAAAGGAGAGGCTTACCTCCAAAGTCCCTCAACAGGTTACAGAAATGAGTTTTCCGCAAAAAAACCCTGATCTGATGTTGTTTAATTTTTTAAAAATACCCTGAGCCGAGTTGGGACAAACTGAACAGACAGATTTGTAGCCTGCCATCTCAGCTTTCATCCCGCAGTTTTTTTACATCTTCCTACAATGACTACCAGTGAAGCTCACTTCTTCTTCAGTGATTTTCCTTATTTGTGAAGTAACTCAATTTGAATTTTTTTTGCGCTTGCGGATATTGGATCACAAATCATCTCATGGCCAATGCATAGTATAAAAACCTCAATACAATAAAATTGTATTTGCTTGGATGAGTTCCAACAGGTTCTGACAGTACAACACAGACTCAAGCTATGTTCTTATGACCAGACATACCCAACAGAATATCCGGCCATAATCAGGGTGGATTGCTTGCAAAATTTTTAAACACCAACAATTTTACAGGAAGTTTCTTGCTAGGGAAGATGGATATTGGAGGACTTCCCGTCGGATCTGGGACCCTTGCAGAGGTCAATCTAGACCCGAAAATTCTTAATTCTCGCAGGGAAATTTGAATTTTGAGGCTCTACACAGCGGGACGGATCAAAGAAATCCCGACCGCCGTGCCGGCGCCCTGGCCGGAGGGCGACCACATGACACACCAGGGCACCAGCGGGACCCGGGGTTGTACAGGTGCCCCGAGGCCAGTCAGGGCGGCGCTCTGGGTCAGCATGGTGTCACTGAGGCGGGATTGGGTCAACCCACAACAGGCACGTCCCGGTGGCAATTGGGGGGGTCAACTTGGGGTTGTCATCCTTGTGCCATGGGGATGACACTGACCGAGGTGCCATGAGACCAAGGGCGTCAGGGACGGTTTATGGTTGGGGCGGTGTCATCCTTGCGACCCGGGTCCAAGGTCAATTGTCTTGTTTTTTCCCTCTCAAATAGCATTGGAAAGGATGGTGTTCACATGGCACTTCAAAAAAAAAACTACTGCCATTTTTTTTCTTTTCTTTTTTCTCTTCAACTTTTTTTTTTTTTTTGGATCAGAGCTCTCTCAGGGGAGAAACCTGGGACACAAGTTCATAAATTCCTTTCTCTGACAAGTCGCACTTGTGGTCTGGTTAAGTCAACCAGTCAACCATTCCGCCAGTGGGGAGTCCAATATGAGTTTGATACAAGTTTGAACCTTGTATGAGCAAACTTTTTTTCATTGCTATATATGATGTACCCAGCCCGATCTGACTCGGTGGCCCAGAACTGGCGCCACCATTTGCGTGTTGGCTGCATCCCGCCCTCAACTGGAGGGCAAATCCCCTGGGTGTCATCAAGGGCATGCTCCAACATGTCTCCCCAGGGCAACCCTGGCCTAGTGGGCTGCAAGGGCGCCATGGGCATCGCCCGGCTGGCGACCAACCAGTCCCGGGGTGTAGACCAGCTCTGGGAGACCCGCAGATGTTGACGGGAAGTTGTCCATTCAAAAGTTTGAAGCGGCTAAAAATAAGGCCCCGTTTGGCCGCAAATCATTATTTGTGATTTGGCTAAGTTTGGCTGGGATTTGGACCGTGTGATATGAAACGATATAAGGTTTTTGCACAAGCTCCTGCCAAACCTCAACTCAAAATTTAACATGAGAAGCCTACAATTCTGATGATCAAATCCTCAGGATGAGAAACAAATTGCAACAGGTGAGTACCGGACAATGTGGGTGAGGTGACCATTTCTGCTGCCATTTTGCTGGAGTTTGTAGGGCGTGTAAACACTTCAGTTTGACCATTCACAAATTTGTGTGAGATTGAATCTAAAAAAACACCCACCAAAATCCTTGATGCTCTTAGGCCAAGGGGTGGACCTTGCTTGTAAGTCCCTCCCTCCGGTTGACACAATGCTGGTTTACCACTTCAACCAGGAAGGGAAGGGAGTTAGTTAAGTTAGGGTCAATCTCCAAGTGGAACTTAGGTCTGCACCCAAACAAAAATCAAACCACAAAATCTACTACATTTTAGCCAGACAGGAAAACCCACTGGCCGGCTTTGAAATACAAAAAAATGGAACATCAAATCAAGGAACAGACTGCAACACCCTCCCATGAAAGTTTTCAAGGAAACTTGACATTAGTCCTATGTATGAGTGCCTAAATGGGGGGCTTTTTGAGTTCCAAGGCTAAACTTGAAGTGGCCTCAGAATTGTTTCATTGGACCAATCTCTCTGTGGGACAGAGACCTTTTAAGAATGTCCTTTTTCAATTCTTAAGCAATGATATGTAGTGCTGTTAATCAGATTTACCTTTGGAGATTGCCCAGAGAAGAGCAAAAGTAGTCTTCTGCTGGCTGAGCCACATCTCAGCATAACGATGTGCCATGTTCACATGCAACTGGTAATGGATCCAGCAAATAGCATTGCACCTTTCTTGTGAATACATACTTTAGGGATATCTGGCGACTTGGGGTCTTGGCAGCAAGCTGATCAGACTCATGACTTGAAAAACCAGGCAAAACGTCACAGGTTCGGTTTCGGTGAATTCCCCAACAGGTCTGTTTACAAATGAGCAGAATTGAGTCCTTTCAACATCTTACACGTTGCGAATGAACAGTTCGGAAGTTTTTTTTCATACATATCTCTAGCCCAAGTTTTTGATGCAAAATGAAGGCAGAATTGACGAGAAGCAGCGCTCTCGTGCGAAGGAGCAAGTGACTCCATTGGGTGGTCTCGTCCGTGTTCTGATCACACTACCTTCGACATTCCATCCTGAATCCTCATCCAGACCTGCTCTGCCGCCCATTTCTGACGACAAAGCCATGTTCCTTTTAGCGATCCTCGTCTTGGTTGAGTTCAATGATTCGTGCTTTGCTTGTAGCTTTGTGGCCGCAATGCATATTCTGACCTGTTGATCTCGTCGTTTGAAAACAAAATTATGACAGCCCAGTATCTTCGGGATCGTTCTTACCCACCCAGCATCACCGACGTCTTGGTTATCATCCCAACAAAACGCGAAAACTTCTAGGAAACTAATCGTACCCCGGCAAACCAGAGCAGGCGAACTCGTGATAACCGCATGCATGCCAGAAAAAATGAGCAAAATAAATATAAACCGTGGAGAGCCTACATTCATGCCGATATCTGAAGCCGCAAAGTCTGCCGAACAATATTTGAAGAAGGGGAAGGAAATTGAAGAACCGAGGATCAAGTCGACTTCCATGAGCAGCAATACATCTCGATACAACGGGGTTCGGATTCTGGGCGAGGAAAAGCCAAGGGATACACCCAAAATTCACGCAGTAAACCCTACTCAACAAAGTTTTAGGAAGGTCACTCCTTCGATCGTTAGCGCTCTTCAATCCCATAGCTTCCACGGTCTGCCCTCCTCAAAATCTAGTGTTAAGCAAGTCCAAACATCTCAATCTTCCAAGTGGATTCCACCATACTCACAAGTCCGGATACTTGAGTCAGACGCAAGATGTTCAATCTGCCCCGAAGTTTACCGCAGTCCCACGTTGAACGATCTCGAAGACATAAAATGGAGTACAATTTATAATTGCCCAAAATGCTTGTCGTTCTACCATATTGGCTGCGTCAAATGCACCTCTTGCCCAAAATGCACTACAAGAGATCCTATTCCAACTGTGGAGGCAACAATTCCGACTGTGGAAGCACATAATCCGACGGTGAAAGCGCCTGTTCTGACTTCGAAGGTCACCTCACATTTAAAAAAATTTGCAAAATTTGCAGGTGATTTTTGGAATGATTACATTTTTGATTAAGAACATTGACCTGTTTGTGACAGAAATTGAATTCTAGCATCGGCCCTGATGTGTAAGCTGAAAGATCAAGTTGTGTCTTGTCTTAATCCATATATTTTGATGTAGAGATGCATTTATGCTAGTTTTAACAAACTGGTTAATTAATTTTAAAATGCATTTGTTTAATATTTTATTTACAACTAGTATTTTTCCCCAATTTTGGGGATTTTGACTTGGTGAGCTTGTTTTTGCCCCAAATATTGGTGGGTTTTATGTACTCAATGACCTTTTGCCCCTTTTGGGGTGTTGCTTGAATTGGGCACCTGTCTTGGTCTGATGTTGGTGTCAACAAATGAGAATTGGAGGTTGACACCAGCATTAGATTGCATGACACATTGTTTGGCTCTCTGAGCCTACTCTTCTAGTTATATGTAGATAAGGGGTATCAAATATAACCAAATCCACCCTTTTTTAATTGACTGGTTTTGAAAAAACCGCCATTTTTTAAACATGTTGGTTCTTCATCCTACCCCTTTGTGGACCCATTGGTGAAAGAAAATATTTTTGGATAATTGACTGGTTTCTAATGGTGGATTTCTTATATTTGATACCCCCAGGGGTTTCAAATGTAGGAAATCCACCATCTGAAACCAGTCACTATTCCCAAAACTTTTTTTTGCATCAATGGGCCCCAAAAGGGGTTAAATTAATAACTAACATGTTTAAAGAAGGGTGAATTTTTTTAAAACCAGTCAATTAAATAATGGCAGATTTGGTTATATTTGATACCCCCTATTTTGGTTCTTCATTGAACCCCTTTGGGGCCTGTTGATGCAAAGAATGTTTTTTGGAAAAGTGACTGGTTTATCATTGTCAGCTTGCTACTATAGCAGAGACAACCTGTCATAGCAAATAAATAAATTACATAAAAAATCTAAGTATAAAGTTGAAAAACCTTTGACTGAATTGCTAAAGACCTAACACAAGAAAAAAAGGATTAGAACAAGGATCAAGAAGAAAATAAGAATGACAAGGAAAAATTAGGTGCAAACCAAGAGTTAAAAAGAGATGTAAATAAGCAGAGGACTTTAAATAGAGACAGAGTTTTTTAGATGAGCACAACTTTGAGAATTAAAGACAAAAAAAGATAAGATAAAAAGAAGAAGAGATTAGTGATTCCAACATCAAACAACACAGGAACAGAAGAAGAGAGAGATTGAGGAGGAAAGAAACAAACAGCATGTTGAGCAGATGTGGTGCATATGAGAAAGATGGTACTCTTTGAGTGAGAATTCTTGCTTGAGTTGAGATTCAATCTTGAGGGAGAGAGAGAGAGAGATCCAAATCAGAGACTGATTCAAGTGAGTGAGAAGATGCAATTAGGATTGAGACTTTACAGTTTTTGATCTTGAACAAGAGTACAAGGAGCGGTGTGAAAACTCCTTTGGGAATGGTGGCAGTCCTGTGAGGGGGAAATATCAGATGAGATATATCACCTATGTAATGATTTACTACAACTGTTACGGCTG